CTTGCTCCCAATTTATTGTATAGATCATGATATACCTTAAGCTTAGTTTTACTTACTATTTTCTTATCGTTCTTAGCATTTTTATATTTTCTAAGCTTTGATTATTTCTATTCTAGTACTAGGCTTTGTAACATGGTCATTTTTTGTTAATAACCTTTTGAACATCATCATTTCACCACCAAGTTTCCTTATCTGAATACATTTTCCCTCTAGATTCCCCTAAATCTTCTTTTTCCACTTTCTTAATACAATCAACAATCTCATTCCACCTAATGTTAACTTCGTCCTCAAATTTTCATTTTCCCTTTTACCAATTTATTCCTAAATAAGTCTATTTTCTCTCTTTTTAAATTGCAACACAAAGTTCTTTGATACCTATTAATTTCACTCTTTTCTTCCATCTATTTGCAAACATCGATAACCATGAGCCTATGTTGCATGGTCAAACTCTCTCCAAGGATAACCTTAAAGTCTTTCCATGATGGTCATTCTGCCTTCTTAACTAAAAAAAAATCTATTTGGCTTTTATATGATCCACTTTTGCAAGTTATTAAATGTTCATCTCTCTTGTTAGAGTAGGTATTTGCCATTGGTAGGTGTTTGTTGTTATAAGCTCTTGTTTGGAGTGCACACACACACACACGTGTGTGTGTGTGTGTCTGTGTGTGTCTGTGTCTGTCTGTGTGTGCGTGTGTGTGTGTGTGTGTGTGTGTGTGTCTAAGGGACCTCAAAACATGGGTGTCCACCTAGCTCCTAAGTACCTTAACCGCCCGGGCCGTGTGTGTCTAAGGGACCTCAAAACATGGGTGTCCACCTAGCTCCTAAGTACCTTAACCGCCCGGGCCGCCTGAGCAGTGCCCGTCATTCTTTAAAAAATTGAGAACAAGAACTCAACTTAATAAGAAAAATAAATAAAAAATCCTTTAAAAATAAAAGTGAAGGAATTCACATCAGACATTTTGAGTGTAGACACCCCCCGCCACCCCCGCCCAAGAAATTCTGGCTAATAGAATTCCCAGAAGCCTTGATTCTAAATTCTAAAGACCACAATAACCCTAGTGAGCCATAGCGAACCTAGACCACTTAGAATTGTCCCAAAGTCACCCAAAACATATCCTAATACCCTAAAATGGTCATCTTCGACCATGACCCATGTGAAACCATAAAATTGACCCGAACATCGATCCGACACCCAAAGGCTTGAAACAAAGACCCTAGATTCCTAACCTTGCAGCGCCTCAAAAGTAGCTCAAATTTGACCCAATTTGGTCCCAAATTATCGAGGAGGTCGCAAGCTTTCCAAAAGTCCAAGAATCGCTTGAATCTAACTTGGGGTTGGAAAGTTATAGCCCGGGGAAAATTGTTCACAGAAATGACATTTTAGTCCTCAGTGCAACTCACTACGAGTCACGCACTTTTTCAGCTATTTTTTGTCTAGAAAAACCCCAAATTTTTCTGGAAGCTTCTTGAGACTTTTGGAATGGCTTAAATCGGTTCTTGGACACATTTTGAGACGTAAAACCCTAGGATTTGAGGGAATATTCCTCAAAAAATGCCTAGTACTCAAGCCTATATAAACCCCCTTGATCCCCATTAGAAAATCACTCAGAAATTCGTCCAAAAATCCTTAGAAAATTAGGGAAAACCCAAAATCCCCAACAAATTAGGAAAACCATCTAGAAAATTAAGAAAAATATTAGAAATCCTAGAAAATTAGGAAATTCATCCAAAATACCTAAGAAAATAGGAAAAATCCTAAAATCCCTAGAAAATTAGGGAAAATCCCTAGAAAGCCTTAGGCTAAAGCCCAGATCCTCTCAAAATCTCTACAAAATCAAAATCAAAACCTAGAAAGAAGATCTCCTAGACCCCAAACCATAGAGCCATGCTTCAATAAACTACTAGAATGCATCAAGAGGTCTAATAAATCAACCCGCGACCCTAATACAAGCCCCAACTCCAGGTCTTCCAGGTATGTGATTCTTCTCTCTTTTATTTAATATTTTTCTGTCTTATTTTTATTTTTTGGTTATTTCTTAAATTTAGTTAAATTTCAAAATCTTTTTAAGGTCTAGTAAATGGATTCCGGAGCTAGAGTTGCCAATAGGTTTAAAGGAGAACCGAATCTGTAAAGATCTACGATGCCCCTAAACCTATAATTTGAGCAATCCCACTCTCTCTAGTGATTTTTAAAATTAACTCGTTTCAGAAGATATTTGAGTTAATCTCGCTCAGAGATCGACGCAAATCCAAGCATAAACAATAAGTTATCTCTTTAATAATATAAATGAGACCAGATGCAAGAAATTTTGATAAGGACCTTAGAAGCCATACTATTCTCCAAGGGTGGAAGCCCCCACTTCCAATTATGGCATGGCGCAGTAGGTGCTGGCAGCCACATGTCACTTGTAATTTAAAATTCAAATGTTGTAACCGGGACCTATATAAGGCACCAAACACTCGGTGGGCATCTATGGCAATATACCTTGTAAATGTAAAGAGCTGAATAAAGTTGGGGTCTAGCCCTTTGCACCCTTGCCCCTGTGTATGTGTATGCTTGTGTGCTAGTGTGTGTACACTTGTGAGGGTGGTGATGCTAGGTATGGAGCTGAACCTGTGCTCCATTTAGACCGAGCTCGTGAGCCAAGGCCGCATGGTGTGGCTAGGAAAAAAAGGGTAGCACCCGTGACAGTTGGTATCAAAGTAGAAGCTCATCACTCCACAAGATGACCCCTACAGTGACCTAACGAGTGGTGGAGTTCGAGAGGCGGCTCGAGCAAAACAACCTAGTGGTGGCTCGGGTCACTTCTCTTGAGGAAAGCGCAGAGGCCCTCTCCACCGGGCTCGAATGGATGGTTGCGACCCATGAGGAGCACACCAGTGCTTGGGAAACCCATATGGGGGACCTTGAGGCTGATGTCGCTGCCTTAACAGATATGTTCAAGGAAAATCTTAAGACACTGACTGAGGATCTAACCTTGGTTAAGAGGGCTCTGACTAGTCCCACAAGCACCGTAAACTAGTCAGGGTTCGAGTACCTCAGCCCAAGCCCTTTGGTGCAGCTCATAGAACCAAGGAGCTAGAGAACTTCCTCTAGGGCATGGAGCACCACTTCCAGGCTGCTCATGCTTGAGAGGAAGAAGGAGTGACCCTAACCACCACCACCAGAGATGCCAAGCTCTGGCAGAGGACACGTGCAGCTGATGAATCGAGGCTTCCTTGAGCCAATTGGGAGGACGTCAAGAGGGACCTGACAGAGCAATTCCTACTAGGAATTGCTGCCTGGATGGCTTGTGAGGCTTGGAGAAAGCTCAAGCACACTGCAACTGTGCAAGAGCACGTCAAACAGTTCTCAAACCTCATGCTCGACATAAATATGTCAAAGGAAGATAATCTCTTCAACTTTATGGCTGGCCTGCAGTCATGGGCTCAAGTCAAGCTAAGGAGACAAGGAGTGAAGAATCTCCCCGCAGCAGTGGCTGTGGCAGAGAGGCTTGTAGATATCAAGCTCAATGCCTCATCGGAAGGTGCACAACCTTGCAAAAACGGGTGTCTGAAAGGCTTCTTCGGTTCTTCATCTGCAAGGGGTCCCATAGAGCCAAAGATTGTCAACAGAAGCAGTCCTTAAACGCGGTTCAAACGATCATTGAGGAGGATGCAAAAGTTGTCAAGGCCAATCCCCGCCAACTGCTCCACACTAATGCAATCCCGCTGCATGCAATGCAAAAGATGGCAAAGGAGGCATCATCTAGAGGTGGCCTTATCTACCTGAGGATCACCCTAAATGGGTAGGAGACTCGAGCAATGGTGGACATAGATGTCACCCACAACTTCATATCATATTGAAGTGCAGCACAGCTAGTAGGGGTGGCAACATGCCGGGCCTAAGCAGGGCCACCCATGGCCCTAGCCCGGCCCTAGTCCCCATAGGCCTGCCCGGCCCGACCTGGCCCAGCCCTGACCGAGCTAAACGGACCCTGACCGAAGCCAGCCCTAGCCCTATAAGGGTCGAGCTGGGATGGCTCGGGCTCAGCAAGGCCCGACCCGACCCGACCCTGCCTGGCCCCGCCCTAACCGAGCTAAACGGATCCTGACCCAACCCAGCTCTAGCCCTATAAAGGCCGAGCTGAGCTGGCCCGGGCTCAGCAAGGCCCGGCCCTATCCTCGGGCTATGGTTGCCTAGCCTTGGCCAAGCCCAGGGCCTAGTTTTTTAGGGTCGGGCTCATATTTACTCGAATCTCTCACCAAAGGTCGCAATTTAGATCTGGAAACCCAATTTGGCGATTTCGACTAGGAATTTGGAATCTCGATTCCTTATTTTAAGAATCTCAATTCCAACACTTATTGAATCTCGTTTCCAATATTTACAAATTCTCGATTCTGCAATTGGTGAATCTCGATTCTACATTTATTGAAATTGGTTTCCACATTTACCAGAATTCTACCACTCCCTTCCTTTTTTTTCTTTTTGCTTTTCTCTAAAGAGTGACATTTAGAAGTTTTCAAGCCATCAAACGACTCGAGCTGGACACCCAATCTCAAGCTATAAGGTGTAGTCATCTTTTTGGCATGAAATGACCAATATAAACAAAAGTGGTCGTCCACATCTCTAATTCATTCTTCAAGTATGCATTGCATTGATTCAATATGTCTAATTACATGTTTGATTTAATTTGCCTAGGTATGTATGTTAAATTCCATGTTAGTAAACAAGCATTTCCACTCCTAAATTTCAACAATTACTGCAGCTTCATGTAGCAAGTTAAAGACAAAGTAAACCATACGCCATGCTTCAATATCGTACATCCACTGCCAAGAGAGAAATCAAAGAAACAAAATAATCAACACTAGCATAAAAAGAGATAATGAAATACAATTTGGTACGCAAAGTGCTTAGAACGAAACAAATGAAATGATAAACAGTCAATAGTACCACATAGTCAAACAAAATGAAAATTAATAACATAATATTTTCACAAATCAGTTCAACCAAAAATTACCAATTTCTAGATCATGCCATGGATGTGCAGCAACAGAGCGCCTAGACATGGATGAGAGAATACGTTCATTGAGCTTAACATGGGGGAAACACGAACGATTGCTTCCCTCTCCCTGCCCATCTTCACTCGCCATTTATATCCTCCGGATACTCACACAAGTCTGTTTAAAGAACCAAATTCCAAAGAAAAATCAGCAAAATCCAGAAAGAGCGAGGCCAAAATGACACATAACAAAATCAGCTGATCCATGGTCTGTATCGAGAAGAAACCCCAGATTTTAAAGGAGATAGAAGTTAAAGAAAAAACCCAAATGTAAAATTACTGGAAACAGTTCCAAAGAATCAAGGCACAATATTATCATGGATAGCCAAAGACACCTTTAATGTATTCCAAAAGATAATAAAATTTAATTTTCATAAGAATAGACTTGAACTAAGAGAATAAAAGAGTGGTCTAACTGTATATGTCTTGATATGTCATGTAGGGAAATCGAATTCTCAAAACATTTATCAAGAGTATAAACTTCTTACATATTTTACCAATCAAGTGAAAACAGAGCACCTTTTACAGTTGTTATGTATCTTCAAAAAAAGAAGCCCAATCAACTCCACATGAAATATTCTATTCACCGGATGCCAATAAATACACGATGAAACGAATTTCTCCCAGCTAAAACACATACACTGATGACTTTAGACTAAGTAAAACAATAAAATTGGGTAAAACGCCAAATTTTTCAACATAATTTGATCAAGTGAGCTAGAATAATTCACGATAAATATAAAATATGAAACAGCTGAATAGATTACTTCTGAGTTTTGTTGCTTTCAAAAAAAAAAAAGGATTAAATAGTTCATTCACCAAAAGAAAAACAAGATAAATACCTAGAAGCAGAGACGAAGAGGAGTTGCAGACACTGGGAGCTCTTCGAGGCCTTTAAAGAGTACGGGTGTCGGGCTACGGGCTTCATCAACGGTCCAGACAGTAACCTTGCGTGAATCGTACTGTCATGATCGTTCCACGTGGTGAACTTTTCTTGGCGGGACAAAAGAGAATGAAATGCTTTGGCCATGTTTTGAAAGACGACGAATCTGGGTCCACTCTCTTTTTCTTTTCAGTTGCAGACGAGCTTTCTCGCTCTCTCTAGTTTCCTAAGTCCGCGAGCAGGAATCTCTCTCACACACAAATTTTGCGGGCATTGAGTTTCGCTCATGGGCTTAATCCACCTAAAGGTGACAACCTTCCGGTCAGACTGCATTTAGCCTTACAAACGTATTTATCTTAGGAAAAAGTTTATATAAGGTTGCAACCTTAAATTGCAGAATTAATTATGCTCCTCAAAAATGCATCCGAAAGGTTGTTTTAATGTTAAAAAATCTTTTAATTGATCTCATCATCAAGATGTATGCATATGGAAAAAAAAAGATTTTCAATCCCATAAATAGTGCATCTTGCAACCCATCATCTAGATTGTCGTTTTTCAAGATTTTTATATATTTATAGATCTACTTGATTTTAACTATTTCTGGAGTTTAAAATTTTATAATTAGATATGACAATAAATTTCAGATAATCCTATGAATTTTTTATACCAAAGTTACGTGCTATGATAAAATTTGGAGGAACATCTAAATTGAATTGTTTAATATTGCAACCCTATCAAAATAATTAAAGCCTCACTTCATAACTTATTTACCAAACATGATCCCGCTCCAACCAAACACAATATGTTGAGCTTAAAAAAATAAATGAAAAAAATAATAAAATAAAATAAAATCCCACCCCCATAATTATGGGTGCCACTCTGACAGGTTACAATTTAAAAAAAAAAAAAAAAAAAGAAAGGAGCTTGACTGCCAAATTTATTCTCACTAGAACAAGAACCAATAGTGTCTCATTTTTGGTGAAAATGTCAATGATTCAAATCATTGATCTGAATACCTCAATAAACTCAAGAGCCAATAGTTCATAAGTACAACAGAAATACAAGTATAATCAAATTATTGATCTGAATACCTCAAAATACTCAAGAGCCAATAGTTTGAAGGTACAATAGAAATGCAAGTACCAGACTGTTGATTCAATGCTTGCTTCTGTAACTCCCACAAAAGATTGAGAAACAAAATAGGCGAACAATTAAAGGGATTAGTGTTACAATCCCAATGAATTTCTTGTTCATGTATGTACTTCGGTACAATAAACAAGAGATGATGAACTGTAGAGTACCACACCAAATGGAGAATTATGATTACGAGAACACCAGTTTAAACAACAAAAATCAGAATCTTGATAAACCAAAGAAATTCAAACCACATGATGAGAAAGAAATTTCACTTTCATCAAAAAGCCCACAAAATAAACAGTTACAGTCATACAGTAAAAATATAAAACTAAGAAATAAAACAAAGGCAACTAAATTCAGCAAAAATAAATTCATACTTCATTGATGCTAGTAAACAAAGAGAGAAACGGTGCAACAAGCAAAACTAAGAAAAGTTATAGCATTCCCTATAGGGTTTATGTAACCATTAAAGGCTTTATGAGAGCTGGTAACTAATATCCTCATATAGTGGAACATAAATTGAGTGGAAGTGTGGTCCTTCATGGACCACGATAGGTAAATGCTATTTGTCGATATTCAGACTTGGCATGCTGAGTCAGTCGAGTTGGAAAACCCAAGTTGACTGGGCATGGAATTAAACCGATGAAGCTTTGATAAGTCATCCCTTAATGAGGTCAAAGTTACCCAGATGAATGCGCTGATGGACTTTGTGACCCTTGTGTGTGATAGTTGGCACGGCATTGTATATATGATAGCCATATCGGGAAAGTGAACCATCTTTTAGAATAAAACATATACATATGCGAGAGATTATTGGTTAGGTGCCTCAATCTCGCCCTCCGGGTCGGGATGACCTGGTGGTGTGGTTATGGGTTCGAGACATGCCCAGGACCTGAGATCGCTCTCTCAGGAACCGCGTAAAAAAGACTCATGCAGGAATATCAACCGATGAGAGAGGAATTTGAGTCGTGAGTCGGGACTCACATCACATGGGTCTGTGACACACTCGGGCTGCTCTCGTAGGCACCCTCTTAGATCATGTGGAATGCCCCCTGGCCTGTAGTCGGTTCAGAATCGCCTCCCTTAACATGTTTCTTCTTTTATGTAACCACACACGCACACATTAGAGATACAGGCAAGTGAGTCAGAAGACCCCACCTTGTCTTTAGGTGAATGCACACAAGCATGTACATTCAAAAGGGAAAATGGGGAATGGTGTCATTGAGTCCATGTCAATTGGACAGCCTTCCGGCGCTTCATAACAGGGGACTCAGACATCATTCTTTAGTGGTAAAGGGATGAGATGAATAAAGTAAGGAGGGAAAAAGAAGGGACAGAAAGAGGAGAAAATAGAGAGAGAATAGAGAAATGAAGGAACAAAGACCAGTTTGTCTTTCACCTAGTTCTTTAGAGAAAAAGAGTACAGAAAGAAAATAGAAATGAAGGCTAGTTTGATTTTCACCTAGCTCTTCAGAGGTAAAGAAAAAATATATTTTTATAGAGAGGAAAAAGGGAAATGAAGGCTAGTCTGGCTTTCACCTAGCTCTTCAAAGAGATGAAGAAGAAAAGGAATGAGAAAGAGGGTGATGGTTTGCTTGGCTCTTATTAAACCTTCCAAAAGGGCTAAAAGACGATTATGAAGTAAGAGAGAAAGGAGAAGAAAGAAGAGAGAAGGAAGGGAGAAGAAACAAGTAGAGAGAGAAGGAATGGATTGAGAAAAAGATGGTGAATGTTAGCTTGGCTCTCGCTAAACCTTCCAAAAGGGAGAAGAGGCCAAAAAAAAATGAGAAGAAGAGAAGAGAAGAGGAGAAAGAGGGAAGAATAGCAAAGGGAGAAAAGAAGAAAGAAGAGAAAAGAGAAAGAGACAATAAAAGAAGAGAGAAGAGGAGAGAGAAAAGAGAGAGAAAAGAAGAGAGAGAAGAAAAGTAGGCACGACGGGTTGACTATTGTGCCAGGGTGAAGAGAGAAGAGGGAGGAGAGAGAAAAGAGAGAATAGATGGTGTGCATGGCAGCTTGGCCCTACCATGCCAGATAGAGAAAAAAGAGAAGAGGGAGAAGAGATGTCATACATAGCGGGGTGACCCTGCTATGCCGGACAAAGAAAAGAGAGAAAGAGGAGCAGTGAGAAAAGTCAAGCACGGCAAGTTGACCCTATCATATCAGACAGAAGAGAGAGAAAAGAGAACAGAGAGAAGAGTCAAGCATGGCGAGTGAGATAGAGGACAGAGAAAAGTTAGGCATGGCAGGTAACCTTGTCGTGCCATACAAAGGAGAGAAAAAAGAGAGCAAAGAGAAAAGTTAGTCACGGCGGGTGACCCTATCGTGCCAAATAGAGGAGAGAGAAAAAATAGCAAAGAGAAAAGTCAAGCACGGCGGGTGACCCTGCCATGCCAGATAGAAGTGATAAAGAGAGAGAAGCATGGACAACGGCGTGTGCTGCTGTCAGGAGAGTGAAGAGAGAGACATGCTGCTGTCTAGGAAAGTGAAGAGAGAGAAAGGAAAGAAAAGAGGAAAAAGAAAGAAGAAGAGAGAGAAAGGAAAGAAGAGAGGAGAGAGAAATTTTACCTCGATGGGGGGAAGAATACTTCCTCAAAGTCTTCTTTATCATCTCTCTGTCTCTCCAAAGAAAGACAAATGTGACCCAAAACTGAGGAATAAGCCAAATTTTTAATTGATCCAAGAGGGATCCATTATATGAGAGGATCACGTGCTTATATATAGTTTGAATCTAAACATGGGTGAATGCCCAAATCATAGCCTAATTGCTGAAAAATAATATTTAATTGAATTAAATAAAAATAAAAAAATAGGGACAAAATGACGATTTTGCCCCTTTTCCAACAAATCCTAAATTTCCAATTCAATCCCTGTCATGGTCAAGGAACCGTTGTGATCTTCTGGGGCCCGTTTGGGGTCTCTCCAGTCTCTATCAGGCTAAAAGATTATTGCTTCCTTGATCAGCTCGAGGAGACGGTCGTTTTGATACTCATTTTGAGCCATGGATCGGGTTTTTGGGCCACGATCATGAGGTGTGAAAATTATAAGCAACGTGCAATCTTTGATTCAAGATCACGTCCATTTCTCGCTATTTTTCCATGATTTCTTTGTTGTATTTTGACGAGCATGTCATCATGAACATTTGGCAACGAACGTGGCTCAATTTAATGCCCAAACGACCATTTTCCAAATTAGGTCTTTTGGCTAGAATTTGATTTCTGGTGGTTAGAATTTGTAGTGATTTTGTCACCTTTTTACAGTGAATCTGACCGTCCATCATCCGTGATGTTCGGCCCAGATGAAGCGTCTAACACTATGGTCGTAATGGATCTAGTTTGAGACCGATCCAATACGCGAGCGTAGTGATGTGGCGGTTCGATGGACGATACATCTTATTGTAAAATTCTGCAAGCATGCTTCCGATCACGATCTTCTCTCTAGATTTTCTCCTGACTCTAGCCACAACATGAGCCATGCCATATATCGAAACATTCGGGCCGACGAGATGAACATGCTCTCAAAATTTGGGCTTGATCCAACCTAGGACGAGAGAGATATGACCTTCCAAATTTCAGCCTGAAACTGGTTCAATGAGGGTACACCGTAATAGTGCCTGACTACCCGTTTTGGGTAATTTGGTAATAACTTGGTCCAAAAATGTCTCATCAAGCCGAAACTTGGTCTCCTGGGGTTTCTGAACGTTTCGGATTCAATGGCGGTGGTCCTATAGTCATTTAACACTTCGATGATAGGGATGTAGTTAGAAGGTCCATTTCCAGTGCGCTAAAGGCCGATTTTCCAAAATTGTTTTCACAGTTGCACTGCCTTAAACTTGTCGGGTCGTGACGAAACTTGCCAGGTATTTTTAGAAGATCCTTAGGCACGATCTTGAACCTTCTTACTCCATTTTGAGATTATCGAAAATTTTACTTCTGGATCAGGCTTTATTGTCATATGGCTTATGTAGTCCACAGGAATTTTGGTAGCTGCAGACCTAGGTTGCAAACTGCTTCTCCTTATTTGCATCGAGGATATAAGTGTTGAAAAATACACTCAAACAATTATCCCTATGCACCATAGAGCTATGGTTGCATGAGGTCTAGGTGACATCGGTTAGTCTCTAGGGGAGAACTTGTAGCCCATCGACT